CCAGGCTTCAGGAGAGCCCAAAGACTCCAGGGTGAGTAAAATCACACTTAGTGGCCAAATGAGTTTGTTTACTACAATTAAATACCAAAACCTGTATTGTCTTGGGGCACTGGCTTTTGAGAGACTGGGAGGGGGGGGTTTGTTGTCACCCAGAGGGCAGCTTTTCCCCCAACTGAGTGGGCTGCGCTGAGGCAGTGAGAGTCTACTTACGTTATTTCTTATGGAGATGGAAAGAAATGTTCCATGTGCGTTACAGTAACATTTTGCAGCCTATGAGTCTGGTTTACTTTTAATTTCAATTTTAATTGAGGAGGACAACAATACAGACACTCTGCTCTACAGAGCACGCCTGAGGCATGACTTCTGCGTTCTAAATGTGTTTAGGTTTTCCAGCTAGAACAGTTGTAATAAGAGATGTTCTTTGCATGCCTTGTCGTATGTAAGTTTATAAATCAGTCCTTTTTTTCACATGTTCATTTGTTTGATGCTTGGTTTCAAAGATTAACTTTTTTGTTTGCTTTTTTGGTGTCCCCCCCCCCCCCCCCCATACATGAACATTATGCAGAACTATGAATTGATTCTACAGGTACGGAAAACAGCATGAACCTCTCTAACTTTTCTGTCCCTTTCCTTCCTATCCCTTCTAATAATTAGATCTGCTTTGGCTTTTTTTCTTGTTCTTGATATGTCAAGGCTGCTTCAGCTTGACTTGGAGGTAAGGATACACGTTTCAGAGAGGCAGAATTCTTGCAGGGAGTGAGGAACTGCTGTCAATTTAATTTCCTGTACATAAGTGCTTCAGTCTCCTGGCTTATTACTCAGACGTATTACAGGCAGTTACTTACTGTAAAAGAGCTTTTTGGCATGAAAGAAGATGAGGTTTGGAGTACGAAACAGATAACAGAATTACGATGATACGCTGTGCCTTAGCCTTCAGCTTTTGTTTGTAGCCCTGCTCTTAAGGCAGCTCCCATGTGTATACTACTTAATTTCATTTCTATCTATTCATTTATGTACAGTTCATGAAACTGTGTACTTTGGTGTCAGAGAAGCAAATCTTGTAGGAACAACTGAATCTGTGATAGAGTCAATTTTCCATGCTGGAGGGCACCTGATTGTCACTTGTCTCTGTAACACCTGATAGGTCTTCATTAGGCTGCGCAAGAAGTAGAGCGATTACATCAGTCTCGGTGTCTCATTTGCATGAATGCTGTTATCTGGCATTAAGATTTTTCATGTCCATCACACGCATGGTCTATGTGTTATTCACACTGTGGCAAAGATTAGAAAAAGAATGGCAAAGAGTTTTGTTCTGAAGGCCACATGACTTGTTGGATATCTGCTTGTACCCAGATGATGTACCTCTGGGGCACACAGAATCATAAAGGAGGTATGTCAGGTTATTCAAAATAGGTCAAACTGTGAACACAACAGCATGCCTTCTATCCAAAGTAGTAGGTGGATGACAGTTAGTTACTCGTGTGCTGGTGGATTAGTGAAGAGGAAAAAAATTAAGACTAGCTGCTGTAACTTTGCAACCTCTCTCAGAAAGGATTAAAACTTAATTGGAGAAAGGCACACGAGGTAACCAAGCAGATGACACTTGTGAGTAGGGTGAGATATGCACGCAATCTGTGCCAAAATAAAATACCAGGGTTTAGACAGTTCTTGTACGGTTGTTTAATGCAGCTGTAATGTCGGTGATTGCTTAACTCGCTGTGAAACAATTTGGTTCACTTGAACTAATTTCTGCATGTGGGAGTTAGAGCATAAGTTCTTAGTTGTTCTCTCCGCTGCTCTCTAGGGCCAAGGTGGAATGATTTTGTGAAAAGAGTGCCGACTGGTACTGGGAACTGCCATCTGAGAGCATGCCGTGAGGGTGAAGGATGGAAAGGTGCTTCCTCAGCTGCATTTCACATTTAAAGTGCCCTACTGTCTGGGATTCTGGTGATTCATGCCAAAATTTTACAGCATTAGGAAGTACCAAACTTCTAAATGAGTTTTTTCATACCGAAAAGCTTTTTTTAATTGCTGATGAGATGAGAAGGGAATAAGATATGTACATAATTAAGCAATTGTCTATGTGCCTGCAAGCAGTTGAAAATATAATGTTAATAACTTTTGGTTCTCTTAACCAGTCTGTGATGCTCTCCATGCTTATTAATTTGACTAAATTAACTCTCTTTTTCTGTATTTTGCTAGAAGGTGTTTTTATGCTTTAGTAATATCTCTATAATATTTTGAAGATGTAAAGTTCTGTATCAAGAAAAAGAATTTTTATTTTATAGTATTGAAGTGACATCTGCATAAATTCAGACACTTATTGGTCAACAAAGCACTTATTTTGTAAAATCTCATCTTCCTTACTCATTGATACTGACCAAATTATTTCTCCTTTAGAAGGTTTCCTATTGCTTTCCTCTCTGAGCTTGCTTTCAGTGTGCAGAATGACTTTATCACTTCTGACGTAGTCTCCGTCACCCTCGGTTCTCTCCTGCCTCTGTTACCCACCAAAGCTCCTAGCCTTGCCTTTGTGCCAATTACTGGGATGAATGAGTGACTGTTTTCCTGCAGCTCTGTGCATGGTTGGATCTCAGTGAGCTAAAATGCAAAATTGTTATCCTCTTCATATTCAAGCGATTTTTGGAAAAAGAGTACCTGTTCTATGTTACTACTGTGAATCTCTGATTTGCAGGAATGGAGTATATTACACTGCATATTTACCTTTCAATTCTTGGTATCTTTCTTTAAGCTGGAATTCCTCAAAGGAAGGAGTTCTGAGGTTACAGAAATACATCTAATGCTATTAGTAAGAATTCATGAAATCTTGGGGTTTTTTTTTTAATCCTAAATAAACAAACAAAAAAAAAATCAACAAAAGAACCCCGCGCCACAAGGCCCCTTCTGGTGACCACTGGGCCTTGAGAGTATGCCTTCATCCAGCACTTTGCTAGAATACTGCAAATATTAAGAGAGAGGAATCAAATGTGTATTCAAGAGCTGCTGCATTTGGAAAACGAGACTTTACAAAGTTACTTGTTCATCCTTTCTGTCCACATCTGGTTTTACTTTCACCTGGGATCTTAGCGTAGTTTAGTCCATAGTAAAACTTCACCTACTTTGACATGAAATTACTATGGCTTCCAACTGGAAGTTTGTTATATTGCCTGAATATCTGTATATCATTTCTGTATAGGTAGAATCTTTGCAAGCACAAATAAAGGAGAAGATAGATGATTACAATAAGCTGTTATTAGAAAAGGAGCAAAACCACCGAGAAATTACAGCTCGTGATAAAGAGATAGAAAAACTGATGGCACAGATCCGAGAACTGGAGCACAGCGGTGCTGACGTCTCAAAGACTGTACACCACTTGGAACAACAGCTGCAGAAAATGAAGAAAGTGGAAACCGAATTGAAACAAGTAATTTTTAAATACTTCTTTAAATGGAAGTGGGGTTGTGCAGTCATCAATGACTGTGTTACGGTGTTGTTTAGGCACCTAGTGGTGAGTTACTGTTGTATTAATGGCAGGTGTCACAGCTGCAGCTTTAAACAAACTCTGGTTTTATGAACTATAAGCCTACTTCCTACAGAGACTGCTTTTTGACAATTGTCATACTTGCATGCATTAGAGCTGCTCTTTTGCTTCTCTGGAAGTTCCTGAGAAAATAATTAAACATCATGGATCTTCAATAAATAACAGTGTTTAAATTCATATCATAATTGGTCGCTCTTCTTGCTGTGTGCCTTCAGAGCCAGATCCGCTTGCATACTCCAGAATTTTTAGTGCTCTGTTACTACTGCAGATTGTAATTCTTAACTCGAAGCTGTGATTCATTCCATTTGGCAAAGGTAACTCAGATGTTGGGTAAAATACAAATACCTTTTTTGCCACCTTGAACCAAATGTTTCAGTTTCCTCCCAGCAGTTTTCCTTGGTTAAGTATTGTTGGTGTGTTTGTCAAGTCAGAAGATTTGAGAATGGCATGATCTAAACTAAATTTGTTAGTTTAATTGCTAATTCTGTAACTATTTGCTTCCATTATTTTTCATTTTTAAAATATTAAACAAAATATATTTTTGTTTTAGCTTCAGCTAAGGTGATACAGAGTAGCCAGTCTCAGTGTATTAGGTGCTGTTACTCCCATCTACTTGGCACTTGTGAGATTCCATCTGGAGAGCTGCTTGGTTTTAGACTCCCATGTACAAGACAGACGTTGGCGTACTGGAGCAAGTCTAGCAAAGGGCCAGCAGGACGGTTCCGGGGCTGGAGCAAATGGTTTTTGAGGCAAGGCTGAGACAACAGGGTTTTGGCTTTGTGGAGATCTTACTGTTGCCTCCAACCACATAATATGAGGTTATGGAGAAGATGGAGTCAGACCTGGAGGTGCACAGTGAAAGGATGAGAAGATAAAAGCATAAACTGCAACGAGGGAAATTCCAGTGAAATTGTGGGGGGAAATGGCTGCACAGGGGGCAGTTGAATGTTGGAAAAGGGGCTCAGGGTGGCAGTGGCATCTCTGACTTGGAGATGTTCAGAATTCGGCTGGCTGAGGCCTTGAGCAGGGCCATGCTGGTTCTGCTTTGCATCAGAGGTTGGACCAGAGAGCTCGAAAGACCCTGCCCAGCTTAAGCTATGCTGTGATTTTATCCAAACACACAAAAGCCGCACCCGTTAGCTTTCTGTATGACTTGCCTTGGGGTGGGTGGAGACTGTGGTGCTGCTGTTGGCACATTGCTCTTTCCTCTGGAATCTTAGCTTGCTGATAAACAGGCTTTCTTTATCCGTGCAGATTCAAAATATTCTTTTAGCTGTCTGAATGTCCCAGGAAATTGGTCTTTCTTAAAAATCCTATATAAGCCAAATTCAGACTTTTTGTTTTCTTTTTTCCCCGAGAAACTAATTCATCAGATTTAAACAAGGCTGTACTGTTCAACTTGCCAGCTGTAGGCATTGTAACAGCTTGACTTGAAGCAATTTTGTGCAGTAAGTTCCAACAGAGCTCTGAGAATGATTGATTGCACGTCATGAAATTTTTCTGTAATGATACACTTGATGTGAATGGCAATTACGGATCTTTATCATCCCCCAAATTCCAGCATATGAAAAATGTAGGTATTGGAGATCATGGGTACTAGTGCTAGTAAGAAATAGGTCTAGAGAGAATAATTTTGAATATGAAATGGTATCTTTTTTTGAAGAATACTGACTAAACTCACAGCTAGCGGATCCATTTACCCTGCCGTCATGTGCATGGAGCAAGTATTTGTTTTCTCCTGGTCCAATTCCTTCCAGTTGTTTGGGCTGCTGATGGGTAACACTGAGGCTGCTGCTCAGGGTTGTGCTGGGAGGGTTGCTCATCCCTTGGCTTGGGGTCTTGGAAATGGGGCTCATCTCAGGAGTCTGCTGTCCTGTGGATTTTGGTATCGGTGGAAAGAGGTACCACATTAGACTACATCTGTGTGGGCATCCAGAAGAAGGTTTTACAGCGAAGCTGCATTACACAAAGTTCTGATTTTTTGCCTGGGTTGCCACTTGCTTTTGCTGGGTCACTGTAGCAACCTCGGGACATAGCAACTGGAGAATGCGAGGAGAAGCTTTGCTTTTGTGTGCAGAGCCGTGCCACGAGCTGCGGCACGCTTGCAGCTCTGCTGTCTGGTACGTGCAGGAACGTCTGAGGTAAGGCAGCCCAGTTCTGCAGGAATCTGGATTTGCACATCATTGCTGGAGGGGTTTTGTCAGTGAGCAAGATGAGCTTTAGAAGTGGATAACGTCTTATTTTTAGTTGATATAAATGGAAAAAAGATAGGCTCTGTTGTTGCTTGCGTTTCATGGTTACATGTGTCCTTTCATGTACAGCAGCAGTGGCAAGAAGAGTTCATTTTTCCCTTCAGAACAAACAATTTCTGTGATAGGTGCTTTCCTACCCAAAAAAGTGCAGTTGATACTTTCATAATTATTACCTTTTGGTTTTTTATCCTGCCAGTGGTATTAGGTGTGAATGACACAGATGTGGACCCTCACTGCCTGCCTCCCCTATAATTTCCTTTCCTCTCATGTGCCGTGTGTGCCTGGACAGCCACAGAGCTGGCCCGAAAGCTGGGGGCTAGTGGGTGGGTAGCAGGTGGCCTATGCAGTGTGGACGTGAACTGTTTGCAATACCTGTTCTTGGGCGTGCTGTTTTGATACTGTGATACAGCATTACCTTGGTAATTTATATTTTTATTTTTTAATTGATGCTTCTTTCATTGTAGGATCAGTAGATGCTATATGCATGTACTCTGGGTCTCAGTTCTTTTTGATTAGAGAAAATATGGTCATATTCTACTTATTTTTTTGGCAAATCATATGATGAGTCTAAAATAACCCTTCCGTGAGAGGTATGTGTATTGAGCTATGGAGAAATTTTTAAAATAAGTAGAACTATGGTAGCTTGCCAGACCACAGATCTGACAGAAACTTAGTGCTGGTGCTTCACATTCTGACTTAACATGGTGTATTTATAGTAGGTTTTTGATCTACCCAAAACTCTCTGTCTCTTGAATTTAAATTAAGTCTCCGCCTCATAAATTTAGCTCGGCAAATATATAGTATCATAATAAATTTGGAAATGGCTACAAGAACAAGATGTTTGGGTTATTAGATATATAAAATGCTGTGTGATTGAGAAAGTATAATACATCACTGAATGCTAGATTTTCAGAAGTTGTTAAACGTGGGTTAGAAAAAAATAAAGGGGTGAAAACTTAAATGAGCCAAAAACATTCAGTTGTTTTGAATTCCTGTTTCTTTTTAGGCCATTGGGATCACGTACTTTTCTTGTGCTGGGATTTGTCAGGGATGCTGAAGTATGTCGTCGGGATTGTTTTGCTTACAAATCTGACAACAATTAATTCTAACATTAAAAAATATATATTTTGCAGGATAAGGAGGCGCTGCAACAGCAGCAGTACAACAACCTGATTCAGATCTCTGCCCTCCAGTCTAAACTGGACGAAGCGAGGCACAGGGTACCAGCAGACGGCGGGTCTGCCCCAGTGCTGAAGGAGCAGTTGCAGGCGGAGCAGGAAGCACTGCAGACCAGAGAGAGAGAGGTAAGAGCTTTGGCAGGGTCCTCTAGACTTACGGGTCATTCATGTGACTGCAGAAACACTTTGGGCAAACTTCTGTACTGGGAATTTAAGCCATTCAAAAACTCGGTGACTAATGGTGTGGCAAACATGCCTTCTTACCCAGTACTGTCTCTGCTTTGGTGTTAACTAACCTTCCTTTTTCTTGGTTTGTTCTGTTTTGTAATCCCCCTGTCTGTCCGTCTCCCTTGCCACTGGAAACTGTCTTGTGATCATTCACATCAGCTTTGAGACTGATCGATATCTGTTGTAAACCGATTTTCATTTCCTTCCAAAGTTGAATTGGAGCAGGAGATAGATATATTTCTGTTTGAAAGTGGGCAATAATTGCTTTTAAAAAAGGAAAGGACGGTTACCTATAATGGTGTCATCTGACCTTCTCTATTTTATGAGCCAGAAAATGTTAGCGATGAGCTCTTGTGCCAAGCTAAGCTGAAACCTGGTGTAATTGGTTACGTTATCTAGAACTTTTATTGGATTTACATGCACAGATGCATACACATCCCCCCTGTATGTTCATGTGATATTACATAATTATTTTAGTGTCTGTAATACACAAACATACAGACCAGTTTAGAATGTGCAAAGAACAACAACATGGGTGATCCTCCGGTTAATTGTATGCCATTGTTTCAATAGCAGCAAGATAATAAAAACCTTGATTATTCAGAACAGAAGTGAACAGATGTTTTATGAGCAGTTAGATATTATTATTTTTTTTTAAAGAAAATGGAAAACCACTTTTGCAATACTTTGGTTTCACAGCTGAGGGGCTGGAACACTAGCTTCTTACTCCCTTTTTGTGTCTCAAGTACTTTATTAATGCAAATTGATTAGAGAGAGTTTAAATCACAGAATTTGCCGGTTACTTGCTGGCAGTAAAGAAGACTATGAATGAAGTTTTATCTTTGCTGCTTAAATAAGAGGACTTAATTGAAACAACTATGCGTTTTCTTCTTTTTTTTAGATTGCAAGCTTGTTAGAGCAACTAGAACAATATAAAGATAATTTGGTCAGTAAAAACGAGGAGATATTGCAGCTGAACTTGCAGTTAGAGATGCAAAAGAACCTTAGCACTTCCAGCATCAGCCAGCTTCAGTTGGAGAATGCACACTTGAAGGTAGGTTTCCTCAGCTTCAGCATGCACCAGCTAAAACCTTAGACCACCTCCTTTCTTGGGTGTTGTGGTCTTCATCTCATGATGTTATAAACGGATACTTAGTTTGCTCTCTAGTCAAGGGAATATTGCATTACTGTTACAAGGCTAATGCTGGTTACTGTAGAACAAAAAACCCCGATCCTCTAGATTCATGCTTATGGCATTATCTTCTGGAGTCATTGGATTTAAATAAAAAGCTTAGCTTTTTTCTTGCCCTGACAGATTATGAACTGCAGTGTTTTGCGTGCATTGCTGACCTCTGTGGCCATAGCAAATGGTACAAGTTACAAAACTGATTGGTTGTCGGTCTGGCGGCTAGAGTATTCCTGTCTTACCTTGAAAGTTGAGAAACGTTGCGGCAGTGGTACAAATCTAAACAAAGCAGCTGTGGTTGTGTTCTTGAGTTCTTTGAGATTATAGTAAGGAGGAGAATGTTTAAATGAAACTCTTGGTTCTGTTCTGCCAGTAGGTTGTGAGAGAAAGTAGGTCCTTTCTAATGAGATTGCTGGTTTTTCTGATCAGGAGGATATAACAAAACTTCATGTGAAGCAAAATCAGGACCTGGGTGTTAGCGATTCCTCAGTTTTGTCATTCCCACAAGCACTACTTAAAGAAAAGAATGAAGAAATCGATCACTTGAATGAGCAGATGAAGAGGCTCCAGCACGAGCTAGAGAACAGTCTGAATAAAGTAAGAATACTGACTGTCTTCACTGCTTGATTTTGAGGGAAGCAAGGTATACAGAATCTTACTGTAAATGAAATCTATTTGATAATTCTCTTAAGAAAGTAGAGAGTATTCTGAGTAGCTGCCAGCTGAAGTGTGCAGTTCTTCCTGCTGTTAAGTGTGATTTAATGCCTGCATGATTCAGATTTAAAATGTAATTTAAACTCTATGTGCAATAGTAATTCTACCTACATACAGTAATATTTGGACCTTATCCTTTTGCTCAGGTTGTGGAAGACCAAAAATCTGAAATTGAAGAACTCAAATCACTTGTTGAGCACCTTCGCGGTGACCAGGAAAGGCTGCGTAAAGACAAAGACGAAGAGGTAGAGCAACTCCATGGAATAATTGAGAAGCTTCAAAAAGAGCTGGCACAATTTGGACCAGTATGTCATGAAGTTAGTGACAACCAGGATGATCTCTATCAACTTGCTTTGGGAGAGCCAGTGGAGAACCTTCAGAACGAGTTGAGGAAGGGACTGGCGGATTGTCAGGGCGATATTGATCCAAACAGCAGAAATGCATTGCCTCTTTTCAAAGTGAGAGAACTTCAGGAGGAACTAGAGCTTGTCTCAACTGCCAGAGAAGCTCTGCAGCAGCAACTCGAAGAGAAGGAATTGCGATTCAAAATGGAAGTCGAAATTTTGGAGAAAAAGTGCCAAAAATTACGAGAATCATCAGAGCAGCATGTTGCAGAGCTAACCTCTCTGAGAAAACAATATGACGCGCTTCAGGAAGAGTACAGCCTTTTCCAAACACATTTTTCTCAGAGAGAGGTTGAAGCAAGGATGACTTCTTCCCGCATTCAAGAACTTGAAGATACTGTGAGAGAAAGGGAAGCAAATATTCTGGAGAAAGACAGGCAGATAAAGACAATGGCAGATCAAAGAGAAGCTGACACAACCGAGTTGCAGTGCTTAGCAAAAAAGGCAGCAGAGCTTCAAACAGAGTTGGAAAAGAGAGATGCGAATCATGCTCAAGATGTTGATAGTCTTCAGCTAGAAGTTTCTAGGCTTGATTTCCAGGTGCAGGCGCTGAACCAGAAAGAAGTAGCATATCAGAGAGAAATCAATGAACTGCAAGATACCACTGCAAAACTGAAAGATCAGATGGAGGCATATATGAAACAGCTTGAAGCCTTACGGTTGGAAAGAGGTGAACTTCTTTCTCAGTTGGAGTTGTACAAGCCAAAGGAGCAACGTGATTGTGAAGAGACTGACCTTCTCAAGCCGTTTTGCTGGAGAGGAAAAAAAGGCGAAGCCCTGAAAAAAGGAATGGAGGAACTGGAAGAACTGGAAGCAAACACTGCTCAGTCATTTGCAGTGCTGGCTTCTGCTGCTGATAAACTGGTGTGTTTGTTGTTTTTTTTTTTTTTAAATAGTATTATTTGTGTTTTAAAATCATCCAGGTTTGTGTGTCATAAAGCCCTAAAGTTTATCCTTTTCAGTGCTTTAAGAAAGGGTGAAGATGAATACTGTGGCATAAAAATGGCTGTGGCGAGTCAGTCGAGGTCTGTCTATCTTTGTGTAGTTTCTCCAGCAGTGGGTAGAGGTAGGTGCCTGGAAGGTTTAGCAGGGCGAGGACATGCGGAAAACTGATCGAGTCAGTTTTTCTGAGCTGGATATGGTTTTGGGCATGGATCCTAAGGTAAGGACTGGGTGGAGGTGGCAAGGTGTTGGCAGTGGGGGATCTGCAGGGGGGCCTCTGAGAAAAGGCTGGGGCTGCTCAATGCTGGGCCCAGCTGGTTCCACTGCAGGACACAGCTGAGCCCATTGGCTATCTGGGCGGCACCACTGTGAAAACACATTTAAGAAAGTGCAAAACGCTGCACAGGCAGTGAGGAGTGAGGGAAAG